TTCCTCTGCCTAAAAATAGCACTTTCTCTCTGTAGTTCCTAGTTTGGAACAAAACTATTTGTTATTCAGAAGTTAGGGCTGCAGACTTCCTGACTGCCTGTTGCCCAAGTGTGCAGTGAGCTGTAGGTTCTAGTAGCCTGCTGGGAAGCAGGAACCCTGATTAGCAAGAAGAGGTTTGTTGGTTAAACTTTAATTTTAAAGAATTTACCTTTAAGTTTGATTTCACATTTTAAACATGTACCTAGGTGGCCAGAAAAAATCATCTCTCAGAATGAATTGAACCAACCACTGTACTTAGAAAGTATCCCATTCTGTTCAGTGCTGGCCCAGCCTGCTGACTTCCCTAAATCTCAGTTTTTAATTGCCCCAATGGAAAGGCATTTCCCACTAAAGAAAGAGCTGTCCTGTCTTCTCCTGGGTCTTTGGCTTGTAGTTCAGCTTCTCCTGCAGCAGTGTGTGCTGACCTCTGTGACTTGGCCAACTGATCAGGGCTGGACATCCTTCGCCAAGGGCTGGTGGGTACTGGCTGGGCCCAGCTACCCAGATGTGTCCTCTGAGCACAGCTCTATCTTCAGCACACACTGGCATCTTTACTGGGCACTACCCAGATAGTTCTCAGCTTCCCGGATTGGCTGAGTCCCTCTTTGTGACCTTGAAGTCACAGTGCCAGGTTCAGGAGGGATGTAGATGTGACTTTGGTGGCATCTAGTATAGGGGAATTTTCTCAGAGAATATGCACTCCAGTCTACAGAAGCTATGTAGCTTGGTGCCTGGGAGCTCGGGATCTGGAGTCAGGCAGGCCTGGCCTCCATATCCAGGCTGTGGGAATCCTGGGCAAGTTATTACTGCTCCAGTCCACTTGTTATATAAAGGTGATATTAATTACTCACCTTAGGGAGTTGTTCTTGCAGTCATAAAGTGAACCAAGCTAATGAATGGTGAATTGGCACATACAAAGGTAAATTATAGCCACGTATCTACAGGCCCATTGTTTGAAGCCTAACAATAGCAGCTTTACCACAGCTCACATGAAATGCACAGGTACACCCTACTTACAAGTAGGGAGAACACAGGTGTCACCTATGATCTGGGGACGCTTGTTTGGTTCAGACTTGGTGCCAAGTATTCTGGTCAGGGTATCTCCTTGCTCTCTGAGAAGAGGCAGCTGTGGGATGTCCCGAGCCTTGTTCCTCACTTCTTGCAGCCGGTCATCCCATGGTGTTGACTGCAGGTCAGTGGTGTGAGGGCCTAGCCTCTGATCCAGCTTTGTTCGCAAAAACACCAATATTTTGACACTTACCTGAAGTCTTGTTTTTTTTTTTCTCAGTTGGTTTAGGAGGAATGATGTTAAGAGTTCTCTCAAGCCCCTCAAAGTGGTGGAATCAAGACTGGAAACAGTTGCCTCAGAATCCTATTACAGTCTTTTATGTCATGCACCTTATCATGACCATGGACTGAGGCTATTAGGGCCAGAAAGATCCTCAGTCACTCCTTTGGCCCAGTGTGTTCCCACATGTTTGCAAACTGTAGCTTCTTTACCATGGACTTCAGAAACGGGAGGAAGTAGGGGCGAAGCAGTGATCTCAAGACTTGAGATTGGGTAGCACCAATCTAATGTAACCTTGACACTTTATGGGCATGCCAGGGATCATGGTAGCAAGCAAAATATCCCAGTTCTGGCCAACTTAAAAAGGAACATGACGAGAGTCTCTTGGGAAAGGGACACACAGGACTGATTGATAAGTAGAGGCCAGAACCAGGGGGCACGAGGATGAAGGAGGCATAACAGCACCTCCTGGCCAAAGCCACCATCCCTCGGTAGCAGCTGGGCTAGAACCACATCCAGCCATCCCATCCCTTCCTCGGATTGAGAGAGAGCATGAGGCTGAGCACAGGGTTCTGGGCCCACTCTTCGTGACCTAAGGTCTGGCCCCCTCAGCGTCCTGCCCTCTGGTTCTCTGGATGTGGGTACATATAATTATTCTCCTACTAAAGTCACACATATAGAAGAAAGACCAACAAAAAAGCTAGTGTCTGGTTAGGGCTAGAAATGGCTGCTAGGCAGCCAGACATTTCCCAGATAACTCCAGTAGTGGGGTGGCCAGAGTTGGTAACTGGAATGAAATGTGGTGGGGAAGGCAATGCTTGAGAACCGTGGGACGACAGAGCTTGGAAACTTTGTCTAGGCTGGTCAGGGAAGGCCTGTATGGGAGGGGGTCATGTCCAGGATGCCAGAGGCTCAGTGGCTGGTAGTTGGAGCGAGGGTGTTGGTAGAGGGAAGCTCATAGCGGAGTGTTCTAGACACCTGTGAGGTTGGGGGTGAGGCACTGGGTGGCCTTCCAAGATGAGATGGGGTCCTACCGAGAGGGGGGCAGGAGCAGGCTGGCCTCCTGGCACTATGCTGCCTCAGTTGCCCCCAAAGAAGTCAAGTGGGGGGTGTTACTGAACATGAGAAGTTTATTCTCAGGTAACGATTAAGAAAGAGATAATATAGCAGAGGGTGTCTGTAGGAAGCATGTACAGTATCAGCATCGGAGAGGGCATGCGTGTGCCTGACCTTGGAAGCTGGTACAGGGGAGGGTAAAAACAGAGACTGAGAGAGCTGAGCAGATGGCTGGTGTCTGCAGCAAGGACAGCGGAAGTGGTTTTTTTTTTTCCTTAAGCGATAATGCAGTGAAGACATTTATGTTTCTGAAAAATGAGGCTGGACAACAACCCAGAGGTGGTGGGAGAGGGGACAGCACAGAGCAGCTCTTAGCTCATCTCCATGCAGATGAGGGATGTGGAAAGTCCAGTGTCTTAGACTGCTTTTGATCTGCCTACAGAGTTTTCTGAATGGCACTCAGGAGAGGCCTTTTCAGTGGAAAATGTGAATTACCACTTTCAGAGAGGTGGGACTTGCCCCTGTGTCATACTGTGTGGATAGGGGTAGTTCCTGCCTACAAAGAATCCTGTCACTCACTCACTCAGAGATGGTTCTTGAGTGCCTGATTACCAGGTGGCCAGGTTTCCCAGGCTGGTCGCTTTGCAGGTAGAGAAGGGATTCTGGTAAGCTGAGGGCATACACTTGTACAGAAGAGCCAGTGACTGGAAAGAGACATTTTGCATGGTGTGGAGGAGGAAGAAAACGCAAAATCACTTTATATGGGGGCAGCAGAGAACATTTCATGGAAAAAAGTGCCATTTTAATTTTCAGAAGTGGAAGTGAGGAGGAAAGGCATTTCAGAAAGGAAGGGTGGGTGAGCAGAGGCCTGGAGGCAGGAAATGCCTCTCACTCCCCTCAGATTTTCAGCAGCTGTAGCCATTGTCATGCTAACGTCACAGGTTTTGACATATCCGTTATTATTTTTTTTTAAATGGATTTTTTTTTTTTAACTTAAACGACCTTGCTTAAAAAGGAAGCTTAGATCCCTGTGTGATTCACATGTTAGTATTACTGTCCTGGTCTTTGTCATTAACTTTTCTGGGCCCCCTGTTATGCCCCATGCCTGTAACTCTTCACAAGGCCTACATGGCCGGGACTTCCACTGCCACCATGTTTTTTTAACTTTAATAATCTTGAAGTATACAAGGAGCTTGAGGAATACCCTTCTCGGTAAGAAGACAAACACAGATAAGGCTCATGTGTCCTGGGATGGCGCCCTCATGTCAGTCCCCTGCCCAGCTGTGGCCTTGGTCATCAGCTTGGTGGGTTTTTCCTGTAGTGTTGTTTCATTGGTTTTATTATTGTTTTTAACATAAATGGTACCATATTATCTGTTTTCCTGCCGTCTTTTTTTTTTCAGAGTGATTTTCTAAGGTATAGATCATGCGATAAATAAAAATAAAAATTATTTTAACAAATGAAGTTATTTTGAAATTATTTTAGTAAGTGAAAACAGTAATACATACTCCTATTTTAAAAAAGTATCGGTGTACAAAAGGGCAATCCCAAGACACAAAGTTGACCATGTCCCTCCTCTGTTTGCAACTCTGAAAGGCTCCCCATTGCTCACAGGAGAAAGGCCTGCAGGACCCTGTGTGTTCTGGCTCCTGCTTCCTGCTGCAGCTTCATTGGTCCTCCCGGCCCTGCTTGCCTCCTTGCCGAGTGTGCCGTGCATGGGTTGTGCAGTGTGGGTTGTGTGGCCCCACCTTGGGTTCTGTACACACCTAGCCTCTGATGGATTGGTGGCAGCTGGCCTCCTTGTGCTTCTCTGGGCAGCGTGCCTCCTGTCATAGGGCAGCTGAAGGTGGGTAGGGTACAAGTGAGAGTGCAGGTGCTCCCGCCCTGCTGTCAGGGCTCACTGTGCCTCATGGTGTAATGCTGGGCCAGTCAGACCTGGTCTCTGCACTTCAGCCTACTTACTGAGCTAGGAGGAGGATGCTAGTTGCCTGCCTTGGAGGGTCGTTGGCATGACTGATCAATTCCTGCATGAGAAGGGTTCAGGACAGGACTTCCCATGGTGAGTGCTCAGTGTGAGCTGCTCTGCTTACCCTGGTGGTTGTTATATGCACTGTTACAGCCCTAAGCCCAGCACACAGGGCCTGGCATGTGAGTATTCAGGATGTCTAATAAAGGAAGGAGGGAATAAAGACAGACCTGATAGATGTGTGAGGATGTGCAGGGACAGAGGCTCCCATGGGGAAGGGTGAGGAGTTGGGCTGAGAAAGTTCGTGGCAGGTTCTGAGCACATGCAGTGCACGCAAGGTGCGGAGTTGGGCACAGGGGATGGTAATTGGTGGCAGGGAGCTGTGAAGGGAGAAGCCCAGGCTGGGGGCTGCCAGCAAGGACAGGAAGGCCACAGCAGGTTCAGATACCATTTTCTACGACTTTCTCCCTCACAGCACCCTCTGTCTCTTTGAATTCTCCAGGAGGAAAGAAGTTACACAGTATTGGCATCTACCTAAGAGGGCCATTGCCCATTTCTGGCTTTGGTGCCCCACATTCAGGTCAATGGAATGATTGTAACAGCTATGCTTTTTTGCTGAAGCCCCATCTCTCTGTTTTTGCCTATTTCCAGGCAATGCTACTGTAGAAAAGTTGGAGGACTTCATCAACAACATAAACAGTGTCTTAGAGTCCTTGTATATTGAGATAAAGAAAGGAGTCACAGAGGATGATGGGAGGCCCATTTATGCGCTGGTACGTGCACAACAGAGCCCTCTCATGGTGTTTGTGAGGAGCTGGGACAGAGAGCATTTGCCTAGGACCCTGTTTGTAAAGAGTGAAGGTGCATCCTGCCTCTACTGGCTCTGAGGTGGAAGACACACAGCTTGGCCCTGCCTCCCCAATCCAGCCACATGGTCTGTAACTTTGCCAGGGCCAGGGGCTCTCACTTTGGTGCTGGCCTCACTGCCCCACACTGAGCCCTGCCCAAGGCATGGCAGCATGCACTTGGCTTATTTTGTTTGTTGACTGTTCTCTGCAAGAAGTTACCCCAAATGTGTGAACTCTTAGGATTCAAGGGAGAAAATGGTCCTTCATTTGGAACACAGAAACTGTGAAAAGAAAAACTGTGAGGCCGCTAAGGATTGAGCCCTATTTGGAGCCTCCTGTTATTTCCAGATTTCCCCTCCTCACTAGGAAATGAGGTGACATGTGAGGAGAAGCTGACAGGCTCTCAGTCCTTGACTCGGAAACCATCTTAGGCAGATCTAAGGAGATCAAGCTCCTACCAACTAGGCTTACACAGAGAGGGGCTTTAGCCCAAGGTTTCCCAAACTGTGTTCCAGGGAGAAAAGAGTTGTAGAGTCAAATAACTGGAAATTCAGATTCCTTCTGCCAGACTGCTCAGTCCTGCTGCATCTGAAGCTCTATTAGCATACACTCACATTTCCCAAATTTATCTGAGTTTGGAGAATACTGCACAGCTTTTGGAGTTCTAAAACCTCTGAGAATCAGACATGTTGACCAAGCTAAGGTTTCAGACTGTAGTATATGACAGGTTACAAAATCATGCCTGTGGCCAGGTGCTCCCTGACTGGTGGGCGGTGGGAGGGAGAGTCAACAAGTGAACTGACTGACTAGTGGAGGGCACGGCCTGACCATCATATTGACTTAATTTTTAGGTGAATCTTGCAACAACTTCCATTTCCAAAATGGCCTCAGATTTTGCAGAGAATGAACTGGATCTGTTTAGAAAGGCTGTAAGTATAGTAACTCCCATCACACATTGTCTCGGCTTCTTATAGGACACAATGGGAACTGCAGTCTTACAGGGTCACCATTGCTGCCTGAGAAAGCCCTTTGCAGGGGATGTCACTGAGAGCCTTCCCTGGAATTCACAGCTGCCAGGTGATTGCTGGGGAGGTTGCCACGGCTACCTATGAAAGAAGGGCCTGTCCTGGTTGAAGCCCAAATGGTTAATCAGTGGGCCTCATAGGCGTACAGTGTGGGTGAGGAAGTGTTACTGCGTGGTGCTCACAGTGCAGTCTGGACCGGCAACAGCACTGCCTGCACGCTTGCTAGAAAGGCCAAATGCCAGGCCCCTCCCAGCTATTAAATGTGGGTCTGATTCTGTATCCTAACAGGGTGTCTCAGAACTGTTCACGTTCACATTTGAGAGGCATTTTGCTGCCTACCCGGCTTGAGCTATTCACTTATCTCTCTTGTCACTCACCTGGATGAGCACCTGCCTACGACAGAGGTTCTCAAACTTGGATCTCCGTTACAATAAATGTGGAAGGAAAAATAATTCAGATAGTTCAGCCTCACTCCAGGTCTGTCAAATCCAAGCCTCTGATGAAGTTCTAGAAATCATTCCTTTCTAAGCCTCCTCTGGAGACCATTAGCAGCCAAGGTTGAGAACCAGGCTTTAAGATGCCGGACACACCTGTGTGCGTAGGAAGCCTGTCTTCCCCGTGGAAGAACTTCTGTGGGAGGAAGTTTTAGGGGAGTTTGCCTTTCAGCCTCTCCTGTCCCTGGGTGCCCAATGCTTCTGTGGCTTCCAAGCTTACTTACTTTGTTTTTTGCATGGGAGACATCTACACCAAGTAATAGGGCTTCTCCAAAAGGCCTGTGGCTCAGGGGGTACTAGGAGGCCCCATGTGGCCCAACCCAGCTTTGCTCTCTTGCCCTTTCTGGCTCCAGTTTGCCACTTAGGCCACCCGTGATGTCCTGCCCACCTTTGAGTAGGAGGGTGCTTCCTCATTTATGCATTTATACATTTCTCAGGTGTTCTGCCTTCAAGGAGGCAGTGACGAGAGAGGATTCTTGCTTTTAGGGCATTAAATCATTCATTGGGGATACTACGGAAGTGACCCTGAGTCAAAAGGACTGAACATGTTTCTGTCTTTTGATGCTTATTATTATATTGTTTCCTGGGAGATGGAACCAGGGTTCAGTGCTGCCTGTGATATGAGTAGTTTTACTGTACCCCTGCCAGGACTGATATTATTGCTTAAAAGTTTTTGCTGATTTAATAAATGAATTGAAACCTTCTATTTCTTCTAGTTGGAACTGATTATTGACTCAGAAAGTGGCTTTGCATCTTCCACAAATATTTTGAACCTGGTTGATCAACTTAAAGGCAAGAAGATGAGGAAGAAAGAAGCTGAGCAAGTGCTGCAGAAGTTTGTACAAAACAAATGGCTGATTGAGGTACTTTGGGATGAGGTTACAAAGGGTTTTTTTCCCTCCAAAACCATATTGTATCCAATTGTCCTTTGAACCAGGCCCTGTCAGGTTCCTTATCTGCTTTTTAATGTCCACAGTGATCCTTTGAGGAGGATTTGGAACCTCCAGTTCACTCTCATGAATGGTCCAGGGGGCCACAGCAGGAGGTGGCAGAGCCAGGGATTCCAGCCACTGGTCCCTGGACTGGGAGGCGGTGTAGTACAGTGGTTCACGGTGTGGTTCTAGCACCTGACCTGAATCCTGGTCCCACTGGCCTTGAGTTCCTTGTCTGTAAAAGGGGAGTACCTAGGGGGTAGGCGGAGTGGAAATGAGGTGGTGTATGCCAGGGGCCTGGGGCTGGCTCCCAGAGGAATTGCTGTTATTATTGTGGTTATTATTTTCAACATTATGTTATTTAAGGCCAGTGCCTTTGGCTTCTTTCACTTGATGGTCGCTCTTAAGGAGGACATGTGAACACACTTGGAGAGGAGCTGTGGAAATCTGTGAAAGGACCAGACTTCAGGTTCATGTTTCTAGACATCCTGTGTCTAGTTCTGCTGACTGGGGCAGGACAGATGTTTCGGTTCATTTTCCACAAAAGGGCACCACTGTTTCCAAGAAACCCAAGGCAGCAGACTCAGCTCTTGCCCAATTTACCACCCTTTCCCCTCCAAGTGCCTGTATCTGTGCAGGATGTGATCAAATTGACCCTTAACTTCTGCACTTGGTGGTCAGCCTTCCAGGCCTGGTGGCTGACATGACTTGACTCTTCACTTGCTCTTCAGAGAGAGCTTCCGTCTGGTGGTCAGAGTTACAGTGTTTGAGTTAGCGAAATCTAAGGAGATGGGCCATCCCTGGCAACCTGACCAAAACTGTTTAGTTCTGGTGTACTTCCTGGCCAGGAGGAAAGGAGCTGGAGAGGTCACAGGGGGAGGGCAGGGGTGGTGGGGAGCACCTAGGGAGTGCCAGGATCTCTGGGCACTTCTGTGCACATTGTGTCCTTGGGTCTTCCCATCCACCCCTCGACAGGGAGCCCCTTAGCTCTGGTCTCAGCTGAACAAACTGCAGCTCCACCGCCTGGGTGGTGCCCACGCCCAGCAAGTGGCCAAGTCGTGTTCAGCCCGGTTTGGGTGACCGCAGCACCCTGTCAGTTGCTGTGTTGCAGTGTTTCTTCCTCTCTGGGGTGGATTGGGCAATCGGGAACATTCTTGGGCGGTTTGGTTCTTGAACCGCTGCACTCTCTCCTCAGGCCAAGGCTTTTTAAGGGCAGGGGCTACAAAGTCTTCATTGTTGTACCTCAGCACTCAGTAAGGGCTTGGGCTTGCTGCGTGGATGACAGGGAAGGTGAGCTGATGACCAAGCAGGCTAACAGAATTTATTTAAAATGTATGAAAAATGATGTAAGAAATACTTGTTCCTCATAAGAAGATTAGAAAATGTCAGTCTTCATAAACACACTGAGGTCAGCTGTTACTCTACCCACAGAGCCAGCTACTCTGCCATTGCCGTATCCCCTGTGCACCTCCTCTCTGCCCACGGTTTAAACATGCCTGGTATGTGCTGCTATAATGTGTTCAGGCTGTGGGGCTGCAGGGATGTGTATCTGCCTTTATCATCCCTTTGCCCCAGCCTTTTGCTGCCCTGAAGGGTGGGGGCGATAGAGGGGAAGGGACACGCCTCTGGAGTCTGTAGTACTTGGTCCAGGCTTCTGTCCTCTGCTTCTTCCTCACTAAAATGGAGATGCTAGTGACACTTTCTTCAGGGGTGGGCTCTGAGCTCCAGTGAGAGGGCAGATCGGAGATTCTGTGAGCTGTCAAGGGCATGCGTGCTTCAGGAAGGAGTGGGCTGCCTTCTGTGGCCTCGGAGCCCTTGTGGGAGTCCTTGTGGACCGATCCTCTCCAGCCTCTCAGGGACCAAAGAACAAACCTGGGGTGCGGCGGGGCACGGCATGGCAGTGAGACACCTACAGAGGCCTCCTCTGGCCTTACTGCGTGCCTCCACCTCTGGCAAGTAGCTTCTGGTCTCGGGGTCTGTTTCCCACCTGGGGAATGAGAATACTGATTGCTCTAAGGGACTGTTTCATGAGGGCTGAATGCTTTCTGAGCCGCCCAGTGTGGTGAGGGCTGCTGTGAGTTCTGTGGCACTTTGGAGGAACAGCTAGAGACTGTGGGGTGGGTGGTGGCTGGTCCTCCGACCTGTCTTCCTGAGAGCCGCACCTTGGTGGAGGGGATCTTACCTGATCCTCGGCCCCTAGAAATGGGACTTTCCTCAGAAGTCGTACTGTGTAGGTGCTCTGCCCCAGCGGTACTTCTTTCATTATGAAGGGAGACTCTCCAGTGCCTGGGGAGCCCTGCTCCTGTGCAGAGCCATCCTGGCATGGAGGTGCTGGGGTAGCTGCGTGGTCCCACAGAAGGCCTTGGAGAGGTGGGAAGTCAGGGTCCGTGGGGGAGCCCCAAGAAGGCCTCAGAGAAAGCAGAGGTCCTCAGGGCTTGGGTGTTTGTTGACTGCCATGTCTGCACACCACACACCCTGATGCCAGGTTGAGCTCAAAGTATTGTTGCAAGGCCTGGGAGGTCACTTGAGTCTTGGTCTTCCTTGGAAGGCCAGGGCACTCTACACACCCCTTCCTGGGACACGGCCCTCAGAGGACTGAGTAGTAGAATCATAAACAGTAAGCATCGGGCACAGTGTCAGGTCTGTAGATGTTTAATAAATGCAGCTCAAGCCTGACTGTGAATTTGAATTTATTCACTGGGGCTTAGGCATTCCTCCATGGGATCATTGCAGGGTCTACTGAATCTTCCCTCAGATGTTTGTCATGGGACTGCCAGGTGCTGGGCCCCACAGGTGCTGCAGACATAAGAATGAGCAAACCAGAGTCAAGTCAGTATCCTTTACTGAAGTAAAGGATAGAAAGGGAAACATGATTTTATGACAGCTTTAGCAAAGGAACCTGACCTCTACTGAGGAAGTGACACTTGAACTGAAGGCTGTGGAGACAATGGAGTTGTGGATGAGGAAGATTATTCAAGACAGGAGCAGCAGCCTGTGCAAAGGGCTTGTGCCCAGAGGGGGCATGGTGTGCTCAAGGAGCTGAGGCCAGGGCCTTCTGAGCATAGGACTTGTGGGGAGAGTGGGACAGGGTGAGCTGGGAGATGGCACTTCAGTGTGGTTCCTCTGCCCCAAAATGGTGGGAAGCCCTGATGGGTTTAGGCAGAGGACCAGGCTGGCTTGCCTTGGAAAGATCAGGTTGCTTGGAGAGGGTTACAGAGGGGAAAGAGGGCTCAGAGTACTGGTATGAGGTGAAGGTGGATTAGGGTGGCTGCCATGGAGATGGAGCGCCATCACGGATTTGGGGGCTACTGAGAAGGTAACAGCCACGGACCGAGGGCTCTGCCTACAGCATCTGAGGGGCGCCAAGCCCGTCCCTTTCCTGGTGGCACAACAGCCCTGGTGCAGGACACTAGTGTCTCATTCACCAGCTTCCCTATGCTTCTGAGATTCCTCAGCTGCCTTCCACCTGCCCTCTGCTCCCTGCAGTCAGCTCTCCAGGCCTCTCTGCACCCAATGGCCCCATCTGTCCCTCCGCTGGTCCTCTGTCCCAACCATTGGTGGCCCAGAGTGAACACATTTCCTTGCCTTGGTTACACAAGCACACAAACTGCCTCAACACTCCCCATGGTGATAGAGGCAGGAACATGGGGAGATGCGGGATGTGCCTGTCAGAAAGCAACAAACAGCTCTTGCTTGTTGTAAAAACTAGGAGATTGCAGAGAAATGAAGAGGCCTTGGAGGTCACTCAGCAGGCTCAATCTGTGAGGCCTCCAGGATCTTGGTGCTGCCCTGCTGAGGACCCCCACTGCCACCTCCCCCTCCCCACAATGGGAGAAGATCAGACGGAACAAAGATGGTTCACAGGGTCAATCCCAATTCTTGAGTTGATGATGAAAGAGAATAAACATTTACCTCCCTCCAGGTTTCTCTTAGCCTGCCTTTGTACTGGCCCGCAGCGTAGGCCGCTGCAGCCCAGTTACTTGTAGTGTTTACATGCTTCTTGGCTCTGCTGTGGTTCTCTGGTCAAAGGGCATGTGGACTGTGACTGGTGGCGGGAACCAGGAGTCCTGGCTTCTCTTGGAGGCCCTCCCACCCACACCACCTGAGGTGTGAGCTGGGGATGGTCCCTGCCTTCTCTGGACCATTTCCAGCTTTATCTGTGAAGTGACCTGGCTGAGAGTGATCTGGGATGGAGCCCACAGAGGCTCTGGGCGGCAGTGCTGGGCGACATGTGATAAGCTGATTTCCTGGGGGCGGGGGGCAGGGCTGGTGGAAGGAGGCAGTACTTGGGTTGAGAAGGTAGGGGTTGTCTGGAGTTCACCCCCATCTCAGGGTCCTCAAGTAGGAGCGCTGCCATGCAGATACCAGATTTACATTTGTGAGGGCATGAGAAAAGTGCTAAGGGCATGTGGGGGCAGGTGGACCTCGCCTTGAGTTCCTTTTAGGTCTTTGCCTAAGTTTTCCCTGCTTGAGGCTCTGCCAAGGGGCCAGCGTGGTTGCCCAGTGGCTGGGTTGGTGAAAACTGGCAGTGTGTGGGGCGTCCACCTTTGTGCCTTCCTAGGCCTTGGACTGCAGGACTGCAGAGGGCACTTGCTGAGCTGGGAAAGGATCTGGTGTGCCAGCAGCTTGAGAGAGAGATGGCCACCTCCTGTTCTGTCCCTGCAGAAGGAAGGGGAGTTCACCCTGCACAGCCGGGCCATCCTGGAGATGGAGCAGTACATCCGGGAGACGTACCCTGATGCCGTGAAGGTGTGCGACATCTGCCACAGCCTCCTAATCCAGGTACTGCTCCCCTTCTGGGCCTGGGCCTCTGGCACCGCCACTCCTTCCTCCAGTGTGCAGACAACAGGGCATCTCCTCTGAAGTGTCTGGGGATGGCCACACAAATGCCCACCTATCTTTTCCCCAGTCCCTCTGTTTTAGTCCAGGAAAGCTCTTTTTCTCCAGGAAGTTCTCAGAAGCCCTTGTATAGCCCCCATTATCTGGACACTTATTTGATGAGAACCTTCCTGTGTTGACCATTGTTCCTCATGTTTTACATGCACACTTTGCAAGGCTTTACAGCGGTTGGGCCAGTGCTAAACTTTTATGTTTTCTTTTTAACCTTTCTTTTTTGGCAGTTGTCAGCTAAGCTCTGATGAGCCTCTTTGTAGATATATCCTCGATCACTTGGTAAATTGTTTCCTTGGGTTGAATTCCTGGAAGTGACATGTCTGGAACAGAGTGTATGTTTTTTCTTTTTAAAGCTTTTGATCCACATGCCTACCTGCAAGATCTGAGGGCCCACATGTTCTGGGTGCCCAAGTTTCAGGCTGCTCTGGTTGGCCTGGCCTGTTGCCACCACACTGGCCTTTAGAGTTTGGAGCTTCTTCCACCTACATTCATTTGTCAAATCCTTTAATAAAACCCACTGTACTGAGGACTTTGGGATTGTTGTTACTAATCTGGAACATAGAAGACAAAAGTATTAGAGCCTGCTGGACATTTTCTTCTCAGTTTCCTGAAGGTTTGTGAATACAGAAGTATACAAGACTCCCGGGCCATCGCCTTTCTTGTTTCAGGGTCAAAGCTGCGAGACCTGTGGGATCAGGATGCATTTACCTTGCGTAGCCAAGTACTTCCAGTCAAATTCGGAGCCACGCTGTCCCCACTGCAATGACTACTGGCCCCATGAGATACCAGGTTTGTGGGCCCGAGGCACTTGAGGGCTTTCCTGCTGGCCTCTGGGAGCAGCTGGGCTGGCAGGACTGAACACACATAGCGGTGGCTGACCCTGAGGGGACGTGGAGATGGGCAAGTGCCTCAGACGAGGGCTCCACGCATGCAGGTCCACACTGGCAGCACCGGTTGCATCTGTAGTAAGTGGAGGCAGGCTTGTGTGTACTTCCTCATGGCCCCCTGGAACCCACTAGAGATTCCAGGGCATGTGAGGGTCTGGTCTCGCCTTTCTCCCTGGTAGCTGTCTCAGGAGGGGAGAGTGAAAGCAGTGACCACAGCTCCCTAGGTTCCTTTGTCTGTAAAAGGGCTCATTCTACCTTCCAGGCATGGTGGGGACAAAGATGGTGATGTTACTGACATAGGCCAGAGTCCTTGGCACATGACACGTAGCTGTGCATGAACTATTGTAGGGGTGCACTCAGTCCCTGCCATTCACAGTATCTTCCTGACCTTTTCTGTGTACAGAGGTCTTCGACCCTGAGAAGGAGATGGAGCCTGGTATCTCCAGTGCGAACAAGAAGTCCTCGCGGTCCAGGCAGCACTAGCTGGCGCACTGCTGCGGGGCTTGCCGCCTCCAGGGGGACGGGCGACGCAGCCCTGTTTGGAGAGAGACACCAGCATTTCACATGACTCTCCATTTTATGCTTTATGTTTGGAATAAACCTTACTAAGGAGTCACTACAGCCTCAGAGCATCATTGTATGCCCTTCTTGGGAGGTTTCCTGCTGGGGCCTCTCCTTTTCCCCTCGAGCTTGCCACCCAGGGACCCCCTGGTTTGAGTTCCAGCAGGTGAAGTTGATGGACCTCCTTCTCCATAGCATGGGCCCTGGGCAGCTTTGCCTTCAATCCCCAGCTTTAGTCACTTGTCCCATCAACACTGGCCAGCCTGCCCTGGACTTGTGGGTTCTTGGCCTCAGTTTGGGCCCTCCTGTAGCCTAAGATGCAGTTAGCCTGAATGGGCGTGAGGCCGGCAGGCTGGGCTGGAAGTGTGCTTTCCTCACTGCGCCCTTCTGCACCCCTTTGGTGACTGGCAGCCCTGCCATCAGCTGCTTCAGCCAGGACCCAGGAGACAGCCTAGATACTTCCTCCTCCCTGGCCCTCCTGCATCAAACCAGTCACCAAATCCTGTCCAGCCCACCCACCAGCTGGCCCTCATCTCCTCAGCTGCTGCCCTAGGCAAGTCCCTCCACTCCCCTACCCCCGCCACATCTCCCCACTGCTTCTGGCTCTGACTGCCTACGTGCTCGTTTTTTCCACTGGAGTGATCTTCCCACAATGCCAGTCAGCATGGGCGCCCCTGCTGGAGCTCCTGATAGCTCCCATCACCCAAGTGCTGGGTTTAGACTCACCAGGCTGGATGCCGAGGCCCTTCTCATCTCACCACCTCTCCCTTCCCCACTTCTCAGCAGCACAGCATTTCCTACAGTTTCTGAACAAGATGTCCTGTTCCTCACCTGAGCTTCTGCATGCACTGTGTCCTCTGCCCACATACTCTTTCCCATTCTCTACCTCTGCCGTTAACACCTGGCCACCCTTGGACCCGTGTTAGGCACTGTCTGCCTCTCCCCCTGCCACCCCAATGTCAGGACCCTTTCAGTTGTGAGGAAAACCTAACTTAAGCTAGCTTGAACAATACCTGGTCAGAAGGGGTCATTCGGGAGAGGTTTAACCTGGTGGTTTAAATGATGTCACCAAGCATCCATATTTGTCTTTGCTTTATTTTCACTGATCTGGCCTCATGCTCAAGGCCTATAAGATGGTCTGCCAGAATATCCAGCTACCTTTTTTGGTAGCAAAACAGCTACCATGCTTCCAGGCCTCACACACCAATGCCCCTGTGTCAGGAGGAAGAGGGCAGGCCTTGTTTAGTGGCTCCGCCAACCCAGCAAACGTCCTGATAGCTTAAGCTCCAATTTGGAAACTCGAGGTGGAGATGGGATGAGGAGGGGATCTCAAGGAGGTCCAGCTGGCATTGGCAAATCAGGACTTCTGAGCTGTGGGCAGGTCGGCCCCTCCCAAGCTGCTTGGCTGAGTGAGGAGGGGCTTCCTCCTAAGCAAGTGGAAGACAGTGTTACCAGGCAGCAGTGGTGTGGGCTGTGGGCACCACCCGGGCAGGTTGCAGGCAGGGATGCTGTGCCAAGGTCACCTCCAAAAATGAACAAATGACAAACTGCTGGGGAGAAGTTCCCCCTCCTGGCATCAGTTTCTGTCTCCTGAAGGCAGGGAGGAGGCTTTTAACTGGAGTCCTCCAAAGGCAAGTACCTGCCCAATCATAGAGCCCTGTGGGTGTCCTGAACTGAGGAGTTCAGGAGTGCGTCAGGGCAGGCAACAGCAGCCCTCCCCATCTGGCTGAACCGGACAAGGGAGTCCTGGAAGTGCATGAGGAGGCTTGCAGAGATGACAGGGAGGCAGAGAACCAGTCTAGAGAGGAGGACCAGGGTTCTGGACGTCAAGACCCACTGCTCAGTCACAGGCACTGCTGCCTCCTCCATCAGCTGCAGCCTTTTGACTCGCCCTCCTAATGGCCCAAGATGCAGTTCTAGGGCATGGCCGAGATTTATGTGCCCTGCCAGACTGCATTCCCTGGGGAAAGGTCATTCTCCAAGATGTTCTGGAAGAAGGGAGCATGGATGCCAAGGGGCTAAAAGCAAACATACTGCCATGGGGAGGGCAGGGCAGTTCCTGACAGTTGGCTTCCTGCTTGCCTGGCTGAGTAGTTTTGGTGGTCAAGGAAAGGCAGGGTCATACCATGCAGGCAAGGCCCAGTTGAGATGCAGTGAGCACTGAGCACCTTGCCCCTGGGGACACCAGCCCTCTTGCTGCCAGTCTCCCTGTACTGATAGCAATGTGAGCTTCCTGAGGATGCTTCGGCATGGCCCAACCAAAATCCCTACACAGAATTCCAAAGACCCTATCTGGCACTCCAGGTCCTTGTGATCTGGCCCAGGCCAACCAGTTCCCACTGCTCTGCTCTCCCACTTAAGTAACTCCGGAAACTAGTCAGGGCCAGTGATACTCCTGGCTCCCCTGGTTTCCAGTCTTCCCCCATCTGGGTCCTTGTCACACAGCAGCAGAGAGTGTCTCTCCCACCGCCCAGCCCACCTGCCCCTCCCCATTCTCCCAGCACCCTCTACTCCAGCCACACTGGCTCCTTCCTCTCTCCCGAGGCCAACACTCTCCTTCCCCAGGGCGGTGGCACCTGCTTCTAGGAGCTACTTTGTGAAGCTTGCGGCCAATGCTGGATTCCTGGCCATTCAGGCTTCTTGTTCAAATGCTATATATCAATACATGTCTTCCCCAACCCATTCCATTGCTGTATTCTAACCTGTTACTACTTTGTTCTGTTGCCTTCACACTTACCATTATCTGCACCACCTTATTTTATTGTTGGTCTCTGCTCATGAGGGCAGTCCTCCGGCCTGATGTCTTGCTGTCATTATCTGACACAGGTCACTGTATACTGCACAGGCTGCTCTACATCCCCGACCAGTGGGTGGCCAGGGTCCTGGTGTTTGCACCTCTCCTTGGCTCTTAACAGCTGGTTGGTACTTTTATTCTAGCTGAATTCAGTCCAAATTTCTTAGAGCCAAAGCCAGCCTCTAGCTGGCCAGGATTACCAGCAACATTGGCACCTTGCCTTAAGGGGCATATAGAGATTTCACCTTTTGCTATCTTCCTGTCTGACAAGGGATGTTTACTTGAGGTGGCCAGGCCTTGATACCACATTTCAATGAATGTTTTCTTTAGTCCCTAACTATAGAATCACTGCATTACAATAAATTGCTTCTCTTTAACCACAGCTCACAGCAGAAGGTGGGACCTGACATCTGGGACAGATGTGATTGTACAGGCTGGGCCGCTGGTGGAAGCTGGAGTGACACAGCCGTTCCTGGGTTGGGGAAGGGGTGTGAGTTATGCAGGCAGGCCTCTTGAGTTACGGCTCCTGGCAGCCAGGCAGTCGCCATTCCTCATCAATGGCGGCTGTGCAAGGCACAGTGGCATTCCTATTTTATGCCTCACTACCTTCAGTGGCATTGATATTTGGTAGTTTCTTCATCTGAAAAATTAGGTAAATTAACTATTAATAATGTTAGATTGGGGAATAAATAATCTCACAGAGCCGTGGATTCCATTTTCTTAAATAGTTCTCATATTTGCCCGTTCTCCATGCCCACTGCCCCACCCAAGGTCACCCGTGGGATCAATTCCACCACTTTCCTGCAGGTGTCACGGTCGGCTGTCTTCTTGCCTGCTAACAGTCAGCCTGCCCTGATCCATACTCTGATGGTCTCCTGGCTCAAAACTCTGAAGCCCAAAGAGCTACTTGATGAAGTTTCAAATTCCTTGGCCTGGTACTACTGCTTTCACATCCCCTTTCTCCTCATTACTGGGGGTGGAGGTGTGGGAGAGCCACGCCTGGTCAACCAGAGCTGCCATTCCCAGGCTACAGAATAGTCCCTGGTTGTGCTTAGGTGCCAGGGCTGCCAGAATCTTCCCTGGGGTTTTTAAGTCTATGGGTCATGGTGCTGGAGGGATACGTAGTTGACCTTCCAGGGCATCTCCCCTGGGAACAAGGCTATCTGCAAAGGGGAAAGGCCAGAGTCCCCAGACAGTAGAGACCCCTGTGTGGTGGAGGCTGCAGGGGAAGGAGGGGTCTTCTGGGCACTGGTGCTGGTTCTTGATTCAGGAACCAGCTACTGGGAGGGTGCCCAGTTGGAAATTCATCTAGAACACCCTCACACCTCTGAAGGAAGCTTGTTTATTTCAGTAACAACAGAAACCTCCTCCAACCTCCCATTGCCTGCTCTGAGCTCAACAAGCTCATGAGGACCCTTCCTTGTGTCCAGGGCCACCTCTCTCCAGACTCTGCAGACCCAGTCATGACAAAAAGGCATGTGACAATCATAATACTTATTAAGATTAGAGACAACAGCTAACGTTCATGGACCAGCAGGGGGGCTCCACACACACCACCTCTTGAACCCTCTATGGTGAGGCCTAGCACTGCCCTGTTTTCCAGATGGACACACACACACACTGAAGTAACTTGCCCCAAATCACATGGCAGTTAAGCTGTAGGTGTTGGAGACAGTTGAAACCCAAAGGGAACTGAGAGAGGACAGCTGAGAGACTGGGGTGAAAGAACGGGCAGGGATAAGGGAGTTCACTAGGAATAATAACAAGTCCTAGATGTTGAGTCTGAGTGTGCTGAGATAGGATCTATCCTGAGGACAGAGTATACTTGTTTTGTAAAAAAGTATGTCAATACTCAAGCACATGTTTCTTGATCCCTGGTTAACCTGCCCTTCCTGAGTGTGTATAAAAAGAGAATAAAGGCTATATGTTATGGTCTGGCTTGACTGGGTGTCCTCTCAGAGTGAGTTGTATTCAGCTCCACGCCTCCCCTTCGGAACTGTTCGACTTCGACAGCAGGCGCCGCCAAGTGGCGCCTGAACAGGGACCCGAAGTACGGAGGAGAACGTGAGAGCCGCGGCGAGATAACAGTGCGCACGAAGCAGGTAAGGGGCGGCGAATCATTTAACCTCTGAGAGTATCTTGGGGGCAGGAAACAGCCGAGTCCTATTTGTACAGATACTTAAGCATATGCTGTGAACGCGCGCAAAGGTAGGACAACAGTTAACAAAATTTTTAGAATTTATAGAACAAGTATGTCCATGGTTCCCCGAAGAAGGTATCTCATTTAAAAGATGCTGTTTTTCGCAGCTTAGGAGATAGTCCTGTAGCTAACACGATGTAAATAGAACCTGCAAAATAATCAAGCTACACCCTCAAACCAACATGTAAATAACTGTTCTATTGACTCCTTTCCTTAGAGGCAGTTGTCCTGGAGCTAGGCATTTTCTTTTCTACAGCCACAGGAAAGCAAAACAAGCTTGTGACTCAGATTAAGACTCTAGCAGTGGAAAGTCACACAGTCCCTGCACTTAACAGACAGGCAGGGGCCTCTCAAGAAATGATTAAAGTTCAGGCAGAAAAAACTAGGAAAACTAACTGGAAGTAATTCAGTCCCTAAACTCTAAAAAAGAAGTGTCTTGTCTTCTGCACACAAAGCTAACCTCAATACAAACTCTCTGATTAGAGAGGCTTAGCCCCTGAAAGAGATATGCAACACAATGTTATGCAACTAAATATATTTGCCACAAGGAAAATAGTCAAAAGTCCTGTGAACTACTACAATACAGAACTAGTTTTCTAAATTCTTTTAGTGAAAATCTATTCTACTTACTAGGTTCATCATTATCTTTGAAAATTGGGAAGTTTTAAACTAGAGTCCCTGAGATAGAAGAAATTTACCTTTTGCAATACAGCCTGGCTTTAAATAACTCGTGCTAGAATTGTACATGCATTTTATTTCCAGCCCCCTGGACTGGGGCTGTCTAAACCTTAACCCAGTAATGTAAACTGCTTGCCCTTAGAGTATTATTCTTGAAAACTGAAGTACTTTTAATCAAATAAAATAAGAAGAAAGAGGGCAATTAAATATTAGTAACTCAAATCTTTATGTCAGTTTGTCTGTGTATGTTTTTATATGAAAAGTGTTGCTAACTGTAGTCATTATGTCTCAGTCTGTATGTTTGTGTGTCTAAGTGTGTAACTAAAAAATATTTTCTACCTCTGGATGGTATTAATAAAAATTGATTTAAAAACAAGTGCTTGTGAAAATTGAGCATTCTAAAACTTCCAGAAAATCTAATAAAACATATTAAGCATTAATGCTAATTTAAGCTTAACTGAAATGGACATGTCCTTATAGTTATCAGCTGCCAAAGTTTACTTAAAGTCATTTAAGTTGATGTTACCTATTAAATATTTCAAGAAAATGCTTAAAGAAAAGCTTGACTTTTATGTGTGGTGAAAGTTTTATAAGTAATTTAGCATGGTTGCTAAAAATAAGTAAACAAGTGTAGCAAATAAACTTTTTAATAATAATACCGTATTAATGTATAAGTGTATATATCTGCAAACAGCCTGAGAATTTTTGTGGTAACCAAAATTCTTAAAGTTTTGCTAAGTTATATAGATATATTTTGTACTTAATGGGAAATTGTGCTGTAAGGCACATTTCCAAAAATGATAAAACATGTTCATAAATGTTATCAATCTGAAGACTGCAGACGTAACAGTTTACAAGTCTATTTTTCAGTGTTCACTGAAGGTTAAGGTACCAAATGGTTTTAAGTTCTAATTAAAACTACTTAATAAGGAAAACACTTCTGTATGCTAAAGAATGTATGTTTTAATAAGAGAAGGTATAAGGAATAAAAATGCACTGTGTTGAAAGTAAAAGAAGATAACTATTCAAAAGTACAGCTGTTTGTTCAAGGAAAGAAAATGCTGAGTGTAAGAGGAAAATTGTGGGAAGTTTGTGAAGGATTGATATGGTCTTGCTGTGCAAAATTGAAAGCAAATGGATCTTGTTATCAAGTACACAGCAGGACTAGAATTTTTGCTTGTTAAAAGACCAAAAGTTTATTGCTCTACCTTTAATGTTGAAAAATTGTAAAAAATTGATTGTTTATTAAAGCAGTTTCTTATGCTTGAGGTCTCAGTGAGTTGTCTGTGTTTGGGAAGGTGAGATCTTAATATTGGAAGGACTAGGCTAGGTGTTGTTGGCTATGTAACCTTCTGCATTTGCTTTTGGACTTTCTTGTTGTCATTCTGGTTAAATAATGTGTTGTTCAGTAACTATAATTCTATTTAGGCAAGTGCCTTAAAAACTTCTGACAACTTCCTAAGACCAAATTTAAAAAAGTATTTTTACCTCTTATTAACTCTGATATTTTCCAGAGGGCCCCTGGAACATGTCAGAGGAATTTTTTCTCATCAAGAAAAATATTTGACTAATTTGGCTTATTTACCCAATGTATATTTACCTGGAAAGCGCTGTCAAAAGGAATAATGCTAAACTTTATTACTGAATGTTTTATGTCACAGAAATATCACTCTTCCCCCTAAGATGCTTACTCCTGATGCCCAATTAAATTTATCTGTTAGTACTACTATAATTACTATGTATTAATTGTACTCATGTACCATCTATTGTAATTCTACAATCAATGTAAAATGGTCTTCTGGATATAGACTTCCTAATGGTTCGGTATTTTTATGTAATAACAAAACATATCAAGCCCTTTCTTCACACTATCGAGGTGTTTGTGGGGTGGGACGCATTCTTCCTGCCCTAATAGATCATCCTGGATATAAGTGCAGGAGACTTCTCCGAGCTCTGCCATCTGTGATGAAAACTTGAAACTTTCAGATTCTGCCGCTGTTGCAGTTGCAGCTGCGTTCCTCCTGCTGGTTCCTGGACTTGTCATTGGAATGCAGAGATATCTAAGCTGGCCTGTGCATATAGCAAAACAACAAATTTGACTGCTTCTGTATTATCTGAACTCAACCAAAAACTGGGAGAAGTGCGAGATGCAGTGCTTCAGAATCGCTCTGCTATAGACTATCTGCTGTTAAAAGAACATGTAGGATGTGAACAATTTCCAAGAATATGCTGTTTCAATTTCAATTTGTCTGATTTTTCTGAAACTACCCAAAATCAATTAGATGATATCCATCATATTGTCAATAAGTTTCTACAAATGCTTAAGCTAACTAGTTTTCTTAATTTCATTAGATATAACTAGTAATTAAGTCTGCCTTTGTTATGTATCTGTATTCCTATTCTGTTAATGTGTGTATGCAATTTAACTAGTAGTTTGTTAAAACCTATATATATTCAAGTTATGTCTGTCTTTTGATATGTTCGATCTCAGCCATGTAATGCATATTTCACACAAATCTGGGATACCATATAATCCACAAGGCCAAGGCATTGTGGAACGTGCCCATGGCACCCTTAAAGCTCAATTGGAAAAAAACAAAAAAGGGGGAGTTATATCCCCGGCCACCACAGAACCATTTAAATCATATCTTATTTGCAGCCAAAACTGCATCTGATATATTAAATCAGATAAAAGACATGTTCAAAGAACCCCTGAATAGTCTCTGGCACGCTGTCACACCTCTCTTAACCCTAGGCATTTTATGTCTTCTATTGCTGTTACTAGGGCCTTGCATCCTTCACAGCATGTGGAAACTCATCCAGCAAGCTTTAAGAGACCTGCATTATTTGAAATTGCAGACGGCCTCCCCCACTTGTAAATCATAAGTTCTAAAGTCAAGTATGGTAGCCAATGACGGGTAAGATATGGTTGAATTGTAAATACCAACCTAAGACAGGGAGTGGTCCACAGAGGACTATAGCCCCAAGACGGGTGAGGATTTACTGCAACCATACAACCTAAGACAGGCACATACCTTGACCCAGTCTGAGTTGGGCTGGTTGTTTTATTAAAGAAAAAAGGGAGAGATGTTGGAGATGGTTGAAACCCAAAGGGAACCGAGAGAGGACAGCTGAGAGACTGGGGTGAAAGAACGGTCAGGGATAAGGGAGTTCACTAAGAATAATAACAAGTCCTAGATGTTGAGTCTGAGTGTGCTGAGATAGGATCTATCCTGAGGACAGAGTATGCTTGTTTTGTTAAAAAGTATGTCAGTCCTCAAGCACATGTTTCTTGATCCCTGGTTAACCTGCCCTTCCTGAGTGTGTATAAAAAGAGGAGAATAAAGGCTATATGTTATGTTCCGGCTTGACTGGGCGTCCTCTCAGAGTGAGTTGTACATTTATTCAGCTCCACGCCTCCCCTTCAGACTGTTCGACTTCGATGGCAGGCACCGTCATGTAGGGCTGCATTTGAATCCAGGCCCAACCTCACGTTGAAGCCAACCTCAGCATTCACGCTCTAACACTGCAAACTGCTTGCCCATTTCCTAAATACTCTGGGCTTCATGAAGCCCACCCATGAGTCCCCATGTGGGCAGTCAGCCTGGAAGGTCCTTCTGGGGTCTTGCTGGCTGGCTTCTGCCGTGTACACCAGGCCTGGTGCAGGCCCCTGCCTGGTTACTTTTCACCCTTTGTCTGCCCAGTGCCCCAGATCAGCCCCCAGCAAAGGCTTCTTGAGGGCACAGGCTCGGGTTAGCTGATTTCCAATTTCAGGCCCCAGTACCCGGTTGGCACAGGGCAGTGCCGAGGGAATCCACAAGTGTTATTGTCATTTCAGGCCTTTCCTTCCTCTAATCCTGGCTATGACCACCAGAAGCTGATGGAGAAGCTCAAGTCCAGAGCCTGCACATAATGCCAGTATTTAACGGGGATAAACAGGATCTCTCCAGGACACAGGACGCAGGACAAGAACGGAGCCTTGGCAAACCTGGGGAACTTCTCCAAGTCAGGATTCTCCACATCAACCTGCAGACAACACAAGAAGTCATCTGCCTGGTCTGAGACTGGGTCAGGGAGAATCTGCAATGTCACACCGACCCCCAAGCACCCACCTGGCTTGTGTTATGAAGAAGGTGTGTATCATGAGGATATAAAGCCTCTGACTCCTGTGGGGAATATAGCCGGATGTATTTCCTCCCGATCACCTGGAAAGAAAGCGACCCTGTCAGTGGTGTCTCCACCTCACTGCTGCCTACACCCTACCGCAGGGCTCTGTACCCAACATCTTCTTGTCCCTCTGTTCCACATGCTGTTCCCTACACCTGTCTCCACCACACATGCTTAGAGTTCTGAGCACACGTTTTTCCTCCAACTATATTATGAATCAATAGCTTCATGACTGTAGCCAACAACTAAACTCTTGATTGTGCCACCCACTCTCAGGTGCTTCATGTATATTAATTTGTTTCATCCTCACAACCCTGAGATGGCTCATCACCACTCCATTTCACAGATGAGGAAACGGCATAGAGGGGTGAGTTGCCCAAGTTCACAAAGCTAATAGGTGACACAGCTGGTGTTCATGCCAAGCAGTCTGTCTCCTGAGCCCCTGCTTGCAGCTTGTCTATTGCTTCTGTAGGCCAGTCAACTTGGTTGGAAGAATGTTCTCATTTGTTAAACCTCTCTATGAAAAATAAGGTGGTTTTACAACAGATGACACTCCCCTTTCAACAAACACATACACTTTTCTGTCTGGGTTTCAGGAAAAACCATCCAAGGGCTGAGAAGCCATTTCTTACTGGAGAGGAGGTTCTGGCAGGGAGAAGCTAGCCTGGTTCTGGTGGATGGCAGGCAGTGGAAGGACAGAGAAAGAAGCGGCCTTGAGGGCACTCACTCCATCCAGAAAAGTGCCAGACATGCTCGGCCCAAATGAGGCGGCCAGGATCCCAAAGGACGAGCCGGGTCTGGGAACTGCTCCTGGAAGCAGCCCTGATCAGACAGAGGGCCTCACTCCAAGGCCTGGTCCCACTTCTCCATTTTCGTTGTTGTCCTGTCCCTCCTGTCAGTGGTTCATTTTGAACATGGATAATATGGCCAGGCCACACATGGCTGGGCCAGGAAGGGGGAAAAGGCTCATTTTCTGGAGCAACTCTAACCTGGGTGAGGAAGTTTTGCTGGGGATCCTGATGAAGGGGGGAGACAGTTCCCTGGGGACCAAACCAGGCATTAATAGTGATCTCATCTTCTTCCCCGTCACCCAGGCAGCAGTAATCGGGGATGCTAATGTCCTGCTTCAGCTCTGGGATCTGTAGGGATCAGAGCAGACATGGAAGGTTGAGGCCTGGCCTATGGGACACAGCAGCCAAGTCTACTGACTACCTTACAGAAGGGCCAAATATGCACTGTCTTCTTTGGCGATAACATAATTGTATTCATATTTTACTGTACAGGAATTTAAACATCAGTCAAAAAATATATACTCACTAGGGAAGAGTTATGCCTTTATTTTCAGATTTGTTTCCACGTCATGTATACTTTATATTTATTTTCTTTTTTAAAAACCTGACACCACTGCTTTGAACTTAAAAAATAAACCAACTTGTAATATTCTAAAGAGTTCAATATTTGAGAAAATCAAATTAAAGAAAAACAAAAAGGGATTGAATATTTATCAAATCTCTAGTGGGAAAAATTTTCCAAAATGTACTAATAGTAAAGCAATCACAATTAGTACACTTTAAATAAGTTAATAATAAAGACCAATAAAGTAGGAAATTTACCTGAACTATGGTAAATGAGGGATAATGAAGAGTTTATACAAAATGATAGGGAAAAACAATAAGGACCCCAATACATAAATTATACAAATAACCTAAGGACAAAACCCAGGTAATATATAAAAATGAATTAGATATAAGGAAGGGTTTCCATTCCATTGGCAAAGGAATCCACATGACATGTCACCATTTCCCGCTAAGCAAATCAGCAGAGATGAAAACGGATGACACCCGGTGGTGGGGAGGCACCCTCAGGCAGGCTAGGGATGGCATCAGGGGTAAAACTGTGTATGATGTAATTGTAGAAGGCGTAAAACCGTTCACAGTCCTTGATCCAGTTGAGAGTGAGCTCATGTTGGGCTCCTCCAGGGGGAGGTGTCGGAGATCCCCAGGAGGCTGTGACGTAGGGCTCACAGGCACGGCACAGACAAGGGCTGCCCAAGACGCAGGTGCTGTCTGTCACTCACCTACCCCTGGCACCACTGGTGAGTGTCTGACAAGATGAACTTTAAAACCACAAGCATCATGCCCCCGTAGTGTCCCTATGCCCCTCAGTCTCCCCACTTCCTTACCAGGCCTTCAGAAGGTAGCTCCAGGGCTGAAACCAGGACAGTGGGCCTTGCGCCCCCTCTTGGGGCTTATGAGGATGCGAGGCACCCTGAGAGAGCGGGCTGGAGGCCTGCCCTGGGGGTTTCAGCCCTGGAGTCACCTTCTGATGGTCTGCTCAGGAAGTGGTTTCAGTCAGGGTGAGTGGCTTCTTCACTGGGAGACGCTGGCTCTTTCCCTCCACCACAGCCAGACCACACCGCAGCCTCACCCAGCCCCCTACCCCCAAGATTGCCTGCTGTGCTGGCAAATGGCTCAGAGGCTTTGGGAAGTTAAATGGAACCCTAAGTCTGGTCCCTGAAAGGTCGCAAGGGGGACCCACTCTGTTCTTCTCCGCAGGTATTTTCAGAGTAAGCGCTCCCTGGCCTAACAGGGTGCCTCAGGGAGACTCTGCCAATCCTCGGGTAGAAGCTACTCTAAGTTCATGTTGCTGATTAAGAAACCAATGATTGCAGAAAGCAGCTGGCATGTTCTCCCTGCAGGGAGCTTGGGGAGTCTCTGCTGCTTTGGGCTAACACAGACATTCACATCTCTCCCAGTCCCACCTGTGGGGGTCCTCAAGCTGTGTGCAATATTCTGAAGGCCTGTGGAAAGGCTGTCACACCCCACCGTTGCTTCCAGCTGGGATGATACAAGATGCTGGCCCTGTGGAATGCTGAGAAGCTGACTGGTTCCTGATGACATCATCAGGATTCTGAAAGGTGACTGGTTGACCAGATGGTGTAATCAGAGCCACTGGCCAAGAACTCAGAGACCCTGACAAGAAATTCTCCTATGATGCGACTGAAGGCAGGCCTAGCATGGTAGACAAAATCTAAAGCACAGGGCCTCTGGGAGGAAAGTCAGTCAGGGGTTTTTGGGCAAGAGGTTTTAGGCACTGAGCTTCATATAGGTAGAGAAGACAGTGCAGAGGCCTGCCTGGTGTCCCTCTGTGTCCTGCATGATGGCCCCAGGGCTCAGGGGTGCTCAGACTTTCCCCGAGGCACTCCGAACAGCAGAGGTGAAAACACACCTCTGGAGGCTTGAGATAAAGACCCAGGTGGCCATTCACCAGACAACACATCTTGGGAATCTTTGGCTGCATCCTGCCCTTTGCCTTCTATTCCTAAAACTGCTTCTTTCTCTTGTTCTAGGGAAATGGAAAAATGGCTGCTCTTGTTCTAGGGACATGGAACCAAGTTTACCTGCAGCTTTACGGGTTCCCTGTGGAGGCTGGGTCCCAGTATGATAGGTCAGAGCATAGGCAGCTCTTTTGGGATCATACAGTGGGAGCCTAATCACTTAGAGCCCCCCTTTTCTTCACTCAGCAAGAGAAGACAGGAGGCAGGATCTACAGGTCTCAATACACACAGGCCTGCAAAAGAGACCACAGCTTACCCAACCCCCATCTGCCCCGGGCCCTTCAACTCTGGGCAACCAGGCTCCAGGGGGCACCTGTCACAGGTGGTGAGGGGGCCCCAGCCTCGGCAGTAGGTAAGTAAGCAGACTTGGCAGACACTGGGGCCCCCGATCCCCCTGGCTACAGTCCTGACACTGGTCTTCCCCATTCAGGGCATGACTCAGCCGCTGTCCTTGCCTCCCGGTGAGTGCTGCCCTAGCTGGGCACCCACAATGAGTGTCTGTGGCCTGGCCAAGGCTACACCAGCAAAGCCCCTACTGGATTCCTCAGCTCCATCCAGCCAGTTGTTCAGGTCCCAATTTAGGAGCCTTCCTTGACTGCAAACTTTCCCTCTACCACCGCCCAGCTGCCCATGTGCAGGTGCCAGCAGTGCACACAGATCTTAAGCCTCTCCACTTCCAGGGCACAGCTCTCCCAGGGCCACTGTAATAGCCTCCCAGTGTTCTCCCTGCTTCCACACCTTCAATTCCTCTCCAGAAAGTGGCCACAGCCATCCTGGGAACACTTAGAACCCTCTTGTTTTGTCATCACATTAAGAAAACCATCCTTCCTCACCCAGTCCTGACCCCCTCAGGTCCCACTTGCTCTGTCCCACCCTGTCATGCACTTGACTCTGGCCATGCTGAACTTCCCTGCCCCGTGAAGGTCAAAGTTCTCTCCTGTTGTTCTCCTGGCTGGCATGCCCCTTCTCATCTCCTTTGAGACAAGAGAAGAAAACAAAATGGAAACTTAATAACTGGGATAAAATTCTCTCTAGTTAGCTTGTATCCAGAACATATATAAAGAACTCCTAAGATGACAGACAACCCAACAAAAAATGGGCAACATATCTGCCACATGGCTGGTACTGCTCCTCTTCCCGACCACCAAACGCTGCCTCCTGGAGACACCTTCCTGGAGCAGCGGATGTAAAGAGACATCTTTCCTGCCTGGCCACCTTCAGCAGGCTGCCTCTTTCTGTCCTTGGATGTGTTTGGTCTTCAGTCTGGGAAAGGAGCAACTCCTGCATTATCCCTGTTCCCCAGGACAAGCCCATATGGGGGCGGTGGGGCTGGTGGTGGCAGTCACGCTGTGCACTGCGGTTAGGGCCCCAGCCATCTCCACTGTCCCAAGGACAGAGTGAGGGGTGGGGGACAGGGAAAGGGGTGGGCAAAAAGCCAAACCATTCGGGTATCTCCCCAGGGTGAGCCCTGCTTGAACTGTTTCAGTGTCCTAGCCAGACAGCTGAGAAGGCCAAATGCAATCTGATTCCTGCCACAGTTCTTTGTTCTCATTTTGTTTGCATTTTAAAAACAAAGTCTATTTTTTCTCATGATGATGATTGTACATACTCACCATAGATAATCTGGAAACTGCAGAAAAGAGAAGGAAAAACCACTTGCCACCTCACCACCCACAGTTGCAGTCATCTTTTCTGGCATTTCTTTCTGTCCTTTTCCAACAGAGCTAAGATCACTCCTGCTATAATCACCACATGCCCTGATTTCCCATTCCCATTGGCCAGGCAGTCCCCGTGGCCCCCACTGCTCTGTGAGCCTGGCCCCCCTGTGAAAAGCTCCTGGCGATGCCCCTGTGGCCAGGCCGTGCTTGAAGGCCTCTTCTGGGCGGCTGGCTCCTGAGGGAGAAAGGGCTGGCACGGCCGATGCGCAGTGCTGTCCTTCTGCCTGTCCCCAGCACCCTCCCTCAGAGCTCCCCTGGCTCTCCTGCTGGATTCTCTTGGACCACCACCTCTTACTGGGGACTCTCTTGCGCACAAATCTCCCGGGGCTCCCCACTTCCTTCCAGATGAATCTGAGTTCTTGGCCTGGCCTTCAAGGCCCCAGCCTCCCCCGTGGCCTTCTCTTTGCTCTACTCTTCTGAGCAAACCCTCCCCGAAAGGTCCATGTCCCCAGCATGGGGCCCGTTCCCCTGTGCCCTGCTGCCCCTTGGTTCATGAGGCACCTCTCCCTGGGAATGTCCCCTCTGCCTTCGGCCTCGCTGAGCTCTGCTCTTCTCAGCCTGAGTTCCCTCCTGTTTCAGGCTTCAACCAGTCTGTCCTGAGGGTCTTCAATCTGACCAACCAGGGCTAGGGACCCTGATGAATTGAACCTGATCCTTGCAGGAGCACACAGGCCCAGGCACTGGGGAAATAGCTTCCTAGGCAGACACTTGAGATGTGGTGAGGATGGCACCTGGGCCCACCCAGGGAACTCCTGAGTCAAGAAAGGCAACAGCTCGCTCTTCCTGAGTGAGTCCAGAGCCTGCTGCCCTCACCTGGCTCCCCAGGACCTGTTTGCTTCTCAGTTCTGGCCACACCTGGAATTCTGGCTCTACCTCCAGGGACATCCTGGAGCTTATGGCCTTCTCGGTGCCCCGCTTCCCGTCCTGAGGCCAGGGTGGCCTCGCCTGCTGTCCTGCTGGTGAGGAGAGAACAGGGCAACACAAAGGGTGCCTCCCTGCAGGAAGCAGGGCCAGTGGCTAGTCAACAAGGCTGCTCTGCCCCTTCCTGCAATTAAGAAAACCATCCTTCCTCACCCAATGGGGC